AGAAGGCTGGGGAAATAAATACATAAAGAATTATCCCAACAGAACCTGAAGGTTAATTTTGCGTAAAGGCATGCATGATAATGCTTTGAAAAAGATGTGATGTAACTTAAGGCAATGTTTCCAGTAAGTAAAAAAAGTCTCTAGTGAGAAAATCAAAAAAAAAGTTTAGGATACAATATGAAAAGTAATGTTTCAGCCTGGCAGGACAGATGCAACTGAAATCACCACATATTGGTGAGATGGAAAATGAGGCACATCCCAACAAAGTAACTGTTTAAATCTAAAGGGGTTTAATATAGCAGAAAGATAGCCTTTTAGGGAAACTAAATTCATACTAGAAACTTTTTAGAGTAAAATTAATTAATAAACATGCACCACCACTCAGGAAGAAGGGTAGTCCATATCATTTGGCCTTCATTTAATTCATTTAATCAGTGAGTAATTATGAACTGTAAAATTATTCTAGATATTTTCCTAACAGTACAGAAGCCAAAGAACTGAAGACATCAAATTCCTGTCTGATGCAACTATTTAGAGACTTTTTTCCAGCGTAATCTTAGAACTGGTTAAGCAGAGTGTACAACTCTTAACAGCCTTGTCTTTAGTATAGTCAGTGAGGACAGAAGCTAGATAAGAGATCCAACCCAGACACATTTATTTACTGCACCTGCTTAATTATTCAATGGGAAAGACTTCCTGCTTGACTCACAACACAAAAAGATCATAGTGTGATGCCAAGGCCGTCCAGGCCAAAGAATCATAAAGGAACAGCACCCAATCCTTCAAGTAAGTATTTGCCTGCTGTAAATCAAGACACTGGAACGGGTTCAAAACCTCCATAAAACAGGCAAACATCTTCTCCAGCTTAAGGAGGCAGCTATAAGCCTTTACCATTTACTGGTTTTCAGTGTTGCACTTTATATTGCTGGAGAGAGGTCTGAACACATTCAGAAAATTCACAGTTTACTTCTTTACTTACCTGAATCAGCAGACAGACATAAGAAAGCCCTGAATTATCGTTTGATTTAAGATAATACAACACCTGTAGAAGGTCTTAGAGCTCTGTGAGGTGTAAGACATAATGTTACCAAATTTGAGCTCTCAAATGCCTGCTGGCATGAATTAACTGTAATCCAAGACCCTTTGCTGTTTTTTCCTCAACTCTATTCCTTACTGAAGGAATGCGTTGAAGAAAGCTGCAAAGTGAATTTTCAGTCTCCACAGAACAAAACAAATTATAGAACTTGGATTAGACGTATCTTAATAATAATTTTTGCCTCCTTATCTTTTCAGGCAGAAAGACAGTGCAAGATACAGGAAGAGGAAACTAAGCCAAACTACAGACATTGCTTCCTAATTAGTATTTTAATTGAATTACTGTAAGCAAAGAGTTTGAATAAATTTTAGCTTATCTTAAGAGCAATCAGAATAAGGCCATAACATCTATAGCTGGGAAAACTACAATCTTTACTTCCTCCCTATAACAACAGAAAACAAAAGAAAGAAGGGCAATCGTAGTGTAAATGGCGGAACAAGGCCTATCACATGATTAAAGAAACATAGAATGGAAAAGGGAAAGCAAGGACTTAGCTTTGGGGAAAAACGTCTCAAGATAAGCACTTACGCTACACATTTTCATAATGTATTAAGGAAAAAAAAAAAAACTCTGCAAGTTAGAGAATAAAATTAAGACTTAAAGTTTAAAGTAGTATCTTGACTTTATTTTTTTTTTTTTCCACAGAAGAAACTATTAAGTCAGTCAGGAAGGCCCTTAATGTTCCATGATTTCAGTTGTTAGTATAATCTTACATATCTTACAAGAAAAAAAACAAGCAGTTCTTATGTCTACAATGGCTTTTCAGTGATTTTTTTCATTGGGATTATACTACTTTCATTAAGTGACCCCTGCTACATTAAGGGAAACAGAAGGATACAGTATTGTAGTGTTACATACAAGTTACTTAGAAGGACTCTAAAACAGTGGAATCCAAATGTAATTTTATTATTAAAAATATTTATGAATTGCACACCTAAGACATATTTTGCAAGCACTATGAAAAAAACCCAGTTTTAGTGTTCTTACGTATATTATATGGGTATTGTATGTAATTGAAAAAAAATTCCCCACTAGCTTTTTGGTTTACCTTATGTAAAACACAGCTTTATCTTCTATACTTCTAACCATCAGAAAGGTAAATGGAAGCATGTTAGGTGTCAAGAGGGACTGAAAACTTACAAGCACTCAGGGCAAACTGGGTGATGGACAGTACACAATCAATTATCAAGGAGTCTTAAGATCATCTAGTAACACTTTAATGTAAAAAGTGGAAAGCACAATGTGTCCTGAGACTACCAGGCAGATTCAATCTACAGTCAAGAAAAACAAAGAAACCAAAAAACCCTACCACACCTACAAAACTTGTACTAATGCAGTGCAGTTCAGTATTAGAGAAACAGCAGGAATAGAAACCAAGTAACTAGCAGGGGGTGAAAAGAAAATGAAATTATATTAAACCTACTAACAATGTAAAGAATCTTCATTAATTTACTATTTTTGATAATTATAAAGGTCGCCAGAAGTAGACCAGAAGCTCAGGTGCTTAAACAGTAAGTCATGTCATCTAAATAAGGTCACTGTGGTATTCTGGCTCTTTTTTCAAATGACTAGTTGAGCAACTTTTTTCTTGTTTACTTTTTTTCCCTTTCTCCCAGTGGTATACTTCTACCAGTTTATATTTGTTGGAAAAAAATTTAAATTCAACACGAGTACTTAAAAGCGTGCTGGAGAAAACCGTAAAAAATAATCAATTCTAACACATAGACTAAATTTATGCCTTTAAGTCAATTCAATAAATCTTTTCTTAATATCAACAACTCTTTCGAAAAGGCGTCTGAAAAACTGGCAATATTAGGACACCGGAATTCACATACAGTGTATTTCTACATTAGCAACAGTCTTCAGTACAGGCAGCTAAGAAAGACTTAGCTATCTGGAAGTTACCTGGAAGGACTGAAATAAAACTCAGCATAACACTTCTAATAAAATAAGGTCATTGTTGCTGCTAACATTGATCAGTGAGAGAAAAGTAATTACTGAGGTCAGTTTAAAATCTGTTTTGTTCTCTTGTAAAGAGGAAATATCACACAGTTACTTAACTCTTACGGCAAAGAATTAAGTATTAAGCAGCATGAGAATTTCATTTTGCATCTGTGTGTGCTATTTAGATTTATACATTAATATGAACACGGAGACAAAGAAAAGTGAGCAACAGTGTTCAGCTTAAAAGACAAACCTGAGTATCAGAGCATGACTCCAATGGGTGAGTAAGAACTGCAAATGCATAATGAGGACTAGAGTTAGCATCCAAACACAAAGAAGTGAAGAGCAAGGTCCTAATCAAATTTCTCCTGCAAAAATCCTATAGCTGCAAGGACCTTTTAGCAACAAAATGGTAAAACCTCAGAAAGAAACCATAAAAATTTTGTTTACTGTGAAGACGTTGGTTGACATTTACCTCATACAACTATAATGATCTAAATTCAGCTGTTTGAATTTATGCTATTCACCTAGGCTCCCTTGAGAGAAAAAAGAACCTTCAGAAAGCTATCTTACATTTCTGAAAGGTCCTTGGAAAATCCTTCTTTCTCCCCAGTAACACCTGAGGAAGGCTCAATGACTAGACCAGGATGCAGCATGACGTTAGGGCTATGCCACTTCAGTGGCAGAATCCCCTCCTCCATACATTGCCCCAGCATCTTGTGTCAGCTTTAACAAACTAACTCTGAAACAAAACAAACAAACCTGGGGGGGAACAACAAAGTGGTCCATCTCAGTCAACTCATCCTGTGGCTACAAGACTGATGATCCAACATGGGAGGAGAGGGAAGAGGAAGAACATGTGGTCAGAGATAGGCAGAAGAGGCAGGAAGAATGACCACTGCTTCAGGTTGGCACCTCACTACTAGATCAACTTAGTCACCAGGCCAAGTTCTTAGACTGTGAGAGCTAACTTTCAGAGGGTTTGAGTAAAACAAAAGCCAGTCCTCAAGACTGTAATCAAAAGCATGAAGAAAAGGCTGGTTATTAACCCAGAAAAAGGGTCAAAATAAGTTCAGTCAACACAGTGAGAAACTAGCACCTTGCAGCTGAGCTAGTGGGATGAAAAGAAAGGGGGGGGGGGGTAAATTTTCACAGAAACAGCAATGCATCAGCTGGGAAGAACTTCAGATATCTTTTTAAGTACAAAAAGGCCATCTCAGAGGCCATAAGGGCATCTGAGAGCTACACATAACACCACAAGTTAAAAGACCACTGGCAGGGAACAGTAGTTGACTGTTCAGCCTCTGCAGCAGCAGTAATATGACTGTATGACCCAGAGGTAAGAAATTAAAATAAGCACAGCCAACTCATCATTTAGGAAGCAATATACAAATATGAATACTTTTTGTGCAGCTTTTTATAGTAAGAGTAAACAGCACAGAATTGTGCACGCCTGATATTTTTTTTTTTGTAAATCAAAATGCACTTCTTATTTCTATGACATTCACAAATAAAGCCTTTTGAAATTTCCAATTTCCACAAGGCTAATACATTCTAAATCTCATAAAACAGACTTCGAGGCATACACCTCCACCACAATATCTGGCAAAGAAGAAATCATTGAAACAAGAATAAAATAATTATACAAAATGAAGTGATACAGGTGTCTATTTTTAGCCATACATACACACGTAGTAAAAACCTTCAGAATATATGTTTTAAGAGACTGTTTCCTAATCTTTACAGAACAACATAAATGTACATGAAATAAAACGAAAACTGTGTTTAATAGAGTAAGCAACAACTTTTAGAGAGAAAATATGCATAAAACTGGCTGACAGATCAATTATTCATTTTCAAACAATACAATTGAAATTTATTATACAGGAAGAATGCCACATGATAATACACTTTTATGAAGTTTCATATAGATGATTAAAAGTTGAGATCTTGTTCGTGTATTCATTTAACTATTCTTCTACAAATGCAATCAGCACTCTTTGCATGAGTAGGCATTACTTTCTGAAGGGTTACATATTTTGTACAGACTACATAGTTTATATTTTTTAATACAATTTGTTATCACATACCCATGTGTCTGCATGAACAGGCCTGATGTTGCTGAGAAGCACCTCTTCGTAATTTCCATAATCACAGAATTTAACAACTGCAGTTGTCCCAGAAGAATGGAGAGCTTCAATTTCTGCCCGGTAGAACTTGAAAGAGAAATTTTCAAAGGTCATAAAATACTACCTGAAATACCACAAACAGCTTAACAACTACTTTTTCATATATATGTGTGTATATATACATATATTCAGTCTCAGTTGGTATTAAATTTGAGTAAGATTTGTACCAGATATTAAACCAGATAGATTAAACTTCCACATGGTAGACTGCAAGGACACAGTAGAAAGTATTAAGAATACTCATTGAGAAAACATGCAGCTTATGAAATCGACTGAACATTCAAAAGACTTGTTTTTCATTGCTCTGAAAACAGAACAAATTCATCACTAACACAAATACTCTTGTATACAGAGAAGTGTTACTGTAAGACTTCTTAAAATACATGTATCAGTAAGTGCCTATCAGCCACATACATTGTACATACTAATGTATATTTTAACACACAATAAAATATGATAAAAATGATAAAACTGCCCCTTCAAAAAACCCTTTTTCTAATCACAGAACTTGATTTTTTTTGACATTTATGCACAGATCAGCTTTCTTGAAGATATTCAATCACTTTTATCTTACTGAACACAAAGAAACCACTGCCTCCTAACATGTACTTTACAGTACTCCTCAGTACTGTTTTTCATCATCACATTTCAAAACTGTCCTAGATGTAAGCAGCAGCACTTATTGTACCTACTAAAAACCCAATAACGCTCAAAAAACCCCTTCTAATGTGATGAATACTTTTCAGGTAACAGTCTGGGATTACCTCATATCTACTTATTTTGCGAGTTTCATACTTTCCAGAATTTCAAAAACCCATCTCACAGTGATGCACATACGCTTCTCAAAATAGGAAACAATTTCATAACATGCCATTATAGTTCACACTAATCCATCCACCCCAGCTTCATATTCCTGTTTCAGAGTCAACTCATTGTATGTTGCCACTACCAAAAATTTAGCATGCCTTATCATCTGTTTCAGTCATACAAACAAAAGAGAAAAATAGAGTCATGCTGCTGAGCTAACACTACTTCCTGTAAAAAAAGACTAAAAAGGGAAAAAAAACTTAAATAAAATAAAGGACAGAAAATGGTGGGAACAAAATCTATTCAAAGAACAGTAATATTTAAGGTAGCTCTCTTCTCAGATTATCAAGAAGGGTAAAAAAATGAACAAATTACCCAAGAAGAGTGATAGAGAACTCCTGAACGCATAGTAACAAATCAAATAGCCTAAAACTTTTTTAGTAAAGAAGAAGATGAAAAGAAAGTGTCTTGCTGCAAGAGAAATCTTATTAAAAGGAAAAACATCTGAAGAGGAAGTAATTAGACTTTTAAAAATCAGTAGAACAAAACTATCATGCAGCATAACTCATTTATTCCATAAATTCTTCAGCTAAGAGTCTACTAGTGATCACAAAAACAAGCGTTTTGCTGTTTCCTTTCTGTAATAATTGAAATAAAAGAGAGTTTTTTAAAACAGCCCCATTCCTGCAGACTCTGTTCTTCCCTTCCACTAGTAAAGGTTGCATATGCTGACTTACTCTAGAAACAGGCACTACACATCTACCATTACAGACCATTCTAGATATCATAGCATCCTGTTTCTTGTTCCTTGGAAAAGAATATAGACACCCAGATCCATATTCAACCCTTCAAATTTTTGACACTTAGGTCAAATGCTTCAGTTAGGAGCTTAGTCATCCTAAACAAAAGAAACAATCACCTTGAAGATAACTTAAGCGCTTAAAGTTTCATGCAATGAATGTAAGAGACGTATCTCATAACTACATCATTAAAAAAATGGAATAAGCAGCTAGCCAAGAAGCACACTACACACCTATGAACAAAGCCCCATGTCTCTGAGCTAGCGTAGCTTAATCTCCTACATGTACGTAAGAAAACATTAAAGTTATGATTTGAGGTACGTCTTATTTGGCACAGGCATACCTTGTTGTCTTCCCAATAAAGAGCAAAACATTCATCCCCTGGTCTCCAACTTTTTCCATACTCCACATGAGTCGATGGTTCTAATATTTTCTCCGGTTTGATGGGCCCAGATCTCCTTTTGGGACCGGTGTTGTAATACAACATTTTATCATCAAAAGATGGGATCGTAGTGGGTCCTGATGATTTGATAGGTCCTACTCGTCTTCCTTTCTGATGATGCTCAGTATCTCCATTTGGTACAGCATTAAAATTATCAGTTCTAGCAGGATTTTGGTAATCATTAACACCAAAATGTTGCTCATTTTTTACCATAAAGGCTTCACTACTAATTGTTCGTGCCTTCCTGTCACAAAAATTTTCAGAATTGTGTATTTGGTTTTCCCTTTTCCCACGTTTCTGGTTATTGTTGTCGGTAGCATCTTGAGCAGCAGAGTTCTCCTTGAATTCTGTGAAAGATACCCCTTTTCCTACTCTGTTTTGCATATTGTTATCCCTTTTTTTGAATGTCATATCACTCTGGTGAGTGGCTATGGGATAACCCAAATCCTTTGGCCTATCATTTCTAGGATAATGTCTGTCACTCTTATTTTTTTCATCTGTCCAATGTTCTAAAGAGCTGTGCCTTTCAGGACCTCTGTTTCTTGGTAACCCACCACTTTCCAAAGCCTGTCTTGAATTTTGAATATCCCTTTGAAAACGAGGGGGTTTCTCATTCCTTGGTTGTCTCATGTCATTGCGAGAAATGTGTCTTGAATGATTCTCTTTGATGCCATTCTGTTCTGTATTCATAACTTTGTGCTGCACTTGATGTGGTGGCTGAAATTGCAATTTTGGTTCTACAAAGAAAAAAATTGTCTCAATTATTAACATGTTCCCCACAAACACATTTATAGAAATAGCGTTTCAGACCCTAACTGATAAAGCAACAGTATTGTTTAGAAAAGTATGCAGTATTTACCTTTGTGATACAGAAATTGAATGTTACACAGAAAATTTAGCAGAGACATTTGAACTGTAATTTCTAGTTATTGGAACACACACACTACTTTGGGCTGTTCTTAGAACCAAACCTACCAGCATGAGAAAAGCTGGGCATAAATTTCCAGGAGGTTACTCATGTCTCTCTATGGACATCAATAAGCCACTTGAATAACAGCTATTTAAGACAGAAAAATAAGATTCCAACATGGAGAAAGGAAAAGGGAGGGGGAAAAAAGGAGAAATTAAGAAATACTTTTATTCTTAATTGATGCTTTCTGTAAAAATAACTTCTTAACAGCTACTCAGTCTAAAAGACAAAGGTACAAAAGAGAAGTGATCAGATGAACACAGCTGACAAACTGCAGATAACAGGAAGAGTAACAAAGCCCAGAACTCTGGAGACCCTGATCAATGAGCCATAACAGGAACTGCTCAAGCATTACCTTCAACAGATTTAACCAGAACTCTAACTGATGAGAAGTAAAACAAAATTATCACTGATTTCACGAGAAAGAGCAAATCTGCTATGAGATGCTGTGGAGGAAGGGAATTGTGGAGAACTATGAAACTTTTCATGAAATTACAATATTTTTTAGGCAAACATGGAATTCTTATTAGGATGCTTAGGTGAAGAGACAAAGGAGGGGAAAGATCAAGATAAATCCAGGAGGAATACACATGACAAAATAAAGAAGGAATGAGATTAAACAGAACAGTTGCAAGTAAGCAGGCTCCTGGTCAAGTTAGCCTTGCCAGGCTAACTCCTGCACATGATCGCTGTAGCCTGTCTCATCTCCTTAATAAATTCTGTTTCTAAAGATCTTCTGTGTGTTGTCTATTGTGTGTGTGAGGGGACATGATTTCAAAGCTGCTGGACAACTTGAGACAGGATAAGCTGGTAAGTGGGACAAGAAAGACCTGGCAGCTGAGTACTGGAGACACCACGGGTCTGAAGGCCATCTACCAGAGAGACCACCGGTCTGGGCTCAGATTCAGGACAGACCTATGTAAGCATGCTTGAGTAACCCTCCTGCAAATTTCACATTGTGCTAGCCAGCAAGTTGGAGAAGAGGCACCTGAAATGGGTCCCAGAGGTCAAGGGGCATGGAGCCAGGAGAGACCCATATGAGCGTGTGCATGTGGGTGGCCGGGTAGGAGATCTGCTGGCAGACTTCAAACCTTACTGAAAAGGAAAGCATAAACCTATTAGAGTGATTCATATGAGCAATTTTGTGTCATGTGGGTGCCTGCAAGGGTGTCATTCTCTTGCCTGTGTCTATCCATGGCAGTTGGCCATGTATGTATCGTGTGCCTGAGTCTGGTCTGTGTGCATGGGGCTGGTGGGACTATGAACTCAAGCTCTCTGCTGCCTGGCCCTAAATACACTCCTATGGTTAGGAAAAACTATGAACTTCAGTTTACATGTTACCATTAGAAACAATGAACGCTGACACCTGACAACAAACGTATCAATTTTCATAATTACTTGCTGCACGGGAAGACTTAAAATTAAGCCTTCCAGTACTTCAAGGGGGCCTACAGGGAAGATGGGAGGGACTCTTTATCAGGGAGGATAGTGATAGGACGAGGGGTAAGGTTTCAAACTGAAAGGGGGTGGATTTAGATCAGATGTAAGGAAGTTCTTTCCTGTGAGGGTGGTGAGACACTGGAATACATTGCCCAAAGCAGCTGTGGCTGCCCCCTCCCTAGAAGTGTTCAAGGCCACATTGGATGGAGCTTTGAGCAACCTGGTATAGTGGAAGGTGTCCCTGCCCATGACAGGGGAGTTGGAACTAGATGATCTTTAAGGTCCCTTCCAACCCAAAACATTCTGTGATTCTATGAGAATTAAAAAGTAATTTTTAGCTGTTTTTTTTTTAATATTTCCAAGCATCACATTATTATTTATAGCTCACAGAATTTTTATCAATTTAATTGACTAGTTTTATTTTTAGGCACACTTGATTTACCCTAACTTTTAGAAGTCAAAAAGGTTCTACTAAAATGGCCTAGTGTGTTGGGGTTTTTTTTCAAGTGACATAAGCATACATGAGGTTTAGCATGATGGTGATCTTGATAAAAACACCTCTTACTGCAAAATTCAGCACTTTAAAATCAATAATATTTTTAATGCATGAATATGAAAATATATATTACTCAGGAAGAACCAAAAGTTTCATAAATATTAATTTTCTTTTTAAAAATTAAAATATGACTTTTTAAATCTTGTACAATTTAAAATTTTATATTTTATACGAAACCCTTCAAGTCTAAGGTACCTCTTTATCTCTCCTTTACAAATGGAACGTGAAATATGTTCTTTGACCTTTTTCTAAATGTAGAAACATTTTCTGAGTTGAGATGGGTAGTAACCTCAGACAGTGTCTAGTACATACAAGGACTCTGTACAACTACAAGACTTAGCCCCAAGGCATGTAGAGCAGTTATAATACTTTTAACGCCTTGAGAAAAACTGAAACATATACATGTTCTTCTATAAATGGAAAAAAGTTTACTGAAATTTCTACTCAATGTCATAGAATGTAATAAGTAATTTTAGCTATTGTCTAGGTGCCTTAATGAAAACAGCTAGGTTTTACTAGACACCAAAAAATCTGGATATAATAGATCTCTGAGCAACCTACTTCTGTCACACAGCTGCATAGCTTTTCTCTTTCTACCCTTCTTCCACCTCTTCGCTTGTGACTTTTTATTGGAAAGCAGGTCATTCTCATGTGAAACAATATTTTCTGTCTTTAGAAAGGCAATATTAATCTTCAAAAGCTAGAAAGAAATAATTCAGAACTCAAATGCTATTCATCTACTCAACAAGAATTACCCATGAAATAAGACTTCAAGAAGTTTCATTTAGAATTATAACTCACTATTCCACAAAGAAGCAGAGTTTTAAAACAGAGTAACTGCTAAGAAAAAACAGCACCACATTTATACACTGGCACAAATAGCTCCACCCAGAACTAAGTAGTAGGAAATTTAACTCCTAATCTATCCCTTTTTTCCCAAGGAACAGCAATTTTCGCAATATATTAATAGAAAATGCCATCTGTTGCAGATGTGTTTAACAGCAACAAATTCCTAATACATCACTTGCAAAAGTAGTGCTATTGCATCATTTTTTTTAATTTTTTTTTTTTAATTATTATTTCTACCCAACATAATGTGATCACGATTTAAAAGCAACAAGCTGACTTTAAAGCGTTTTGGAACTTCAGTTACACAATTTTTTTTAATAGTACAGGAAAATTAAAATAATACTAAATGTTAGACAGCATGGAAAGAAACTAGAGAATTTCAAAACAGCAAACATAAGCATCTTTCTGCTAGGTCTATTTACTGTGACATACAAAAGCTGCTCACAAAACGTGACATTTTTCTACTCTAACCTTAAGATACACAAAATCTAGTAAACTGATGTCTTCTATGGAGATGCAGTTTTTGTGCTAAAAGTTTCCCAGGGGACTACATCACACACACCAGCCTTGAAAAAGCAGGACGTGTTAACCAATTGTTTAACATTCAAGCACAACCCACTCACAAATGGAAACTGCCAAGTAACAGTAAATGTTATTTTGTCAACATTAGTCAACAAAAAAGCCTACAGATGAGAACATTACAGGTTCTTCAAGTATTTGTGCTGTCTGGCCTGATCACCAAAAAAATGAAGGGAATCTAAAGCTTCTTTAATAGAAAAAGTTAAGCGATGAGGGATGTTATTCACAGATCTATCACAGCTGCTGTTCCTCACTTCTTCTTGCTCCACCTCCATAAACCGTTAGCTAATGTTTCAGAAAAGTAACAGTTCCTACAGGGCAGTAACAAACAAATCGTAATTTGGCATTTAACAAGAAGATCTGGTATGCTATTCTGTCCAACAGCAAGATGCATCAGCCCAGTCATCATCACTGTAAGTGGACATTTGGGAGCGTGGTCTGGAAAAAAAACATTTCAAAATTAATGAGGCGGCTTTTGTCATCTATTGGGTAGTTTTAAGATGACAAGTAGTGTTTCTCAGTTTGAAACTGTCACTCAGTTATTTCACTCATTTTAGCTTTTGTATGCGATGACCCAAGAAGATTGTACAGAACCAATCACATTCCCTTGCTTACAAGAAACCTGCAAGACCTACTGCAGTCGGAAACCCCAGCCAACGCAATTTAAAAAGCACTGCTTCACGCACAATAGAATTTAAGTAGCACTGTTTCCTGTAGCGCTCTCCCATGGATTTTATCATGTTTAATAATGTGGTTAAACCCAAAGACAGCAGCCCTTCCCATAGCAGTGGCAATGATTTGGGTTTCTCCTTCCAACATGAATTATATTTTTATGCAACTTTGTAGAAGCGTATCTTTCAGACAGCTACCCCCAGGGCATGTTCTATCCCATACTGGCCAAAAGATTAACAATACATTTGCACACACTTTGTGTCATGGAGTAAAATTCCAGTTACTCCAGAGCTTTGCCAAGTTACATAAATATCACTATCATTCTTTCTAAAATGTAGTAACACTGAGGAACTGAAACCTGAGTTCGTGTTTCTGTTGAAAGAAAATAAATACAAGCTGAGGATGAGTGTAATAATAAAGTGGCAAAAAAACCCCAAACATTCTGCCATTGCCTTCACTACAAACTAATTTACAGGATTAAAGGACTGAACAACAACAAAAAAAAATATTTTTTTTATTATTCTTTAAATGATTAAGATTGACTGTATTTTTCTCTCATACAGTTACTGACAAAATAAAACCACAGAAGTCTCCTAACATGTCACCAATGCTAATATAATACTACAACAAAAATGTCTGATTTACTTGATATTCACAATTACCACTGACTG